AAATTTTTTTTATTAACAATGGAATATATAAAAATGTTTATGTTAAGAACTTCCGAACCAAGATTATATTTAGGATCCGGTCAAACATCTGACTATTCGATTCGATTCGGTACATCCTACTTTTATAAACAATTATGTTTATTTAAGACCGCTTGATAGAATCTCATAAAGATTTTTGAAAGGAACTTTCTTATTATTTTTCATTTGTATAATTTTCTTAACGTACGTAACGCAACTAAGTTCATTTAATTTAGGGTAACACCAGAAAATACTAGCTATCATTTCCTTTTCATCAAATGACTTGTTCTCGACTGTCATTATCAGCTACAGCTGTCATTATCATCATCATCATCACACGAGGTAACGAGCATACGGCACACCACACGGTACGGTTACCACCGCCCAAGAACAACTGCAACACCCTGGACCTGCCAATAACAGATGCGTTGTCGGACTTTAAAAAAAGAACGCTGTTTACTTGAAGGACCTTAAGTCGTTTCGATTCGGCAAAATAGAATAGAATAGAATAGAAATTATATTTATTTTCTCATCACAAACGGGTACAGTATTATTGATGACAAACATGTTATACTATGTATAAACGTATTGAACCCTAGTTTGTGAGAGACAGGTGCCTAATAAAGGTATTAAACAATACCTGTTCTATAGGTCACCAGGTCCCTCCCCACGGATTGTACATCTTAAATTACAAGTTTTTATAGTATATTGAAGACATCAATATTTTCATTTTATTGGTTATGAGAAAATCGACATTTCGTAAATTGAAGGATAATGTAACAAAGCCAATTAATTAAATTATACAGATACGTATTTTAGATTAAAGTACATAATAATATTATAATTATATATATAATGTGCGTGATATTAAAGTTGAGGATGTAAGAAACTTTCAGTGGATTCGTATGTTAAAGATTTGAGCCAGTTTATTGTATTTTTTCTACACTCGTGTTCAGGAAGAGGATATATAGATAGCAGCCTATTTATTTTGTTGTATATGTAATTACTGAGATAGGTACACTATACCTATCTCTTGGCTAAGCTGGATTTAACCGTCGTTGAAGGACATGCTTTGTCCTTTCTTCTTTTTGTAGTGCTGAGATTCGGATTGTAATCCACTTGGGAATGCTTTCTGGTTATTATTTTTAAAATAAATATTTGCTTAACGGTGAGGACATCCCATAACCTGTACAGCTCCGACGTAGCACGTCTATAAGGGAGTTTAGCTGCAGTTTTGAGTATTGCTCGTTGAGCTTTCTCAGCTTCTTTATGGCGAGTTTTGGATGCACCATCCCACACTGTGATGCAATAGCTGATTATTGATTGACTAAGAGCGTAATAAATAGGTTTTATAATAGAACAATCAGCTATGTGTCGGAGGGATTTAAAAATATATATAAGTTTTCTCAGTCTAGATACCAGGGAATCGATGTGCAATTTGAAAGTGAGAGTAGAATCAACAATGACTCCTAGTTATTTAATAGATTCAACTCTTTCCAGCGTAGGACACAAGCAAGTGGTGTAATTTAGAGAGTCGCAGTAGTGAGTAAAGATAGAGCCAGAAGTAGGTAGACTCGTCTTATTTACGTCACGTATTTTGTTTTTGTAACATTAAGAGTAAGTATGTTATCCACCAACCATTTGTTAACACTATTAAACCCTTTTTGCGCAAGTTCAAAGACTTCCTCCCATGAGTCTCCATCAAAAACAAGAGCTGTATCATCGGCAAAGGTAACTATTTTGCCTCGAGGTAGCTGGATCTCGCACAGGTCATTAATATAGATGAGAAACAGCGTTGGACCTAAAATGCTTCCCTGCGGCACACCATAGGTTACAGGAAGCTCATTGCTGAGAAAACCACCAAGCTTGACTCTCTGACTACGGTTGGTTAGATAACTCGCAAATAAATTTAATGCTACGCCTCGTACACCTACTCCCTCGAGTTTGTTTAACAAACGAGGAACAGAAACTGCGTCAAAGGCCTTAGCTAAATCAAGAAAGACTGCTACATTTTTTTGCCTTTATCAAGACTAGAGATTAATGTACTTGTTAACTCAAGAATGGCATCCTCAGTTGATCTTCCGGCTCGGAATCCAAATTGATTATTTGAGATTAATTTCATTGAACTTAGAAAGTCAATAAGTCTCTTATTTAGGATTTTCTCCAGGATCTTAGATAAAGTAGGTAATATTGATATAGGTCTATAGTTATTAACGCAGTCACTGTCACCTCCTTTGTGAATTGGTTTGATAATCGAGATCATAGAAGTCTAGGGAATGTACCGGTTTCGAGGGCAGCATTACAAATGTGGGTTATTGGTGGTGTCAACAAATCACTATATTGCTTGAATAGCCAACCGGGAATTAAGTCAATGTCTGCAGCACAATCGCTCTTTAGTCCCATTATTATTTTGCCAACCTCATCTTCATCTGTAGGTAGCAAACAAAGTGAATTGCTCGTATACGAGTTGGTGAGGAGTGGTTTCAATCTCTGATATTATGTTAGATGAAATCTCTGATGGTAGTCGATTCCACAAGGATGTTGTTAGAGGAAGAGAACTTTTTTAAATCTTTAAATTGCACAGTGTGGATCGCCAGTTATCCAGATGGTACGGATGGTATCGCGAGTTTTGTTGCGACGAGCGATGGTGAAATTGTGCAGCTGCAACTATTCCGAACAATTCTTCAGAGCCTCCACGTGGCAAATGCGATAAAATACGCTAAAATACGCAACATCTCTTCGCCGTGCCAGTGAGTCAAGCCAATCGGAATGAGCTCGGTCGCCGACGATTCGAGCAGCTCTGCGCTGGATGCGATCAAACGGAGCTGGTACTGGGGAGCCCCAGCCAAGAGATGGGAACAGTATTCCATGTGCGGCTCGCGTCTTGTAAAGTTGCAGATGGTGTGCCGGCATGAAATAATGTCCCACGCTGCTGAGCACGCCAAGCTTTTAAGAGTCCAATTTCTCCTTCTCTTCCAAGTGACCGCGAAACTGCACGTCACTTGATATGTCGTAGCCGAGGATTCCGATACGGGCTGAGGCAAAAAGGGTAGTGCCTTGAAACTGAGGAGATACGACGAAGGGTTTTTTTAGCGGTAAACGCGTAAGCTTGTTTCCTGGGGATTGAACTGGACTAGATTTAGTTGCTACCACTCCAAAACTTTATTCTACAAAGTCTCGACTTCAGACACAAGTTTGCCCGGTATTCGGCGACGTTATTCCTAGAAATATTGGCATGGCCTGTGTATGAAGTATCACCAGTGCTGTTGTCCGCATAGCAATGAATATTAGTGTTTTGCTACATGTCTGTTTGAAACAATGTTGGTGATAGCACGCAGCCTTGTGGAACACCGGCGTTAGTTGGCTTGTAATAGGAGCATGCACCGTCTACTACGACCTTGATGCTGCAATCTGCAAGAAAATTGGTGATCCAACAGCACAATTTCTCGGGAAGCCCATAGGAAGAAAACTTTTTAGTCTGATAAACTGTGTAACTTTCATGAAATACTTGACGCTGTCAGAATCTATTGCTAGTTGTAAAACTAGGAAAAAAAGTATGTTGCATTTTTACGTGGTAGAGCTACCCTTGTTGCTTCAGCCAGTATCGGAATCCTCAGCGTCGACATATCGAGTGACGTTCAGTTTCGTGGTAACTTGGAAAAGAAGGCCAAATTGGCCTCTAAAAACCTTGGCGTGCTCAGCGGAGCGGGACAGTATTTCATGCCGGCACACCGCCTTCAACTTTACAAGGCACAGGTCCGGCCGCACATGAAATACTGTCCCCATCTCTGGGCTGGAGCTCCCCAGTACCAGCCCCTTCCACTTGACCGCATCCAGCGCAGAGCGGCTCAAATTCTCGACGACCGAGTGCTTTCCGAGCGGCTCGATTCACTGGCGCTGCGAAGAGATGTTGCATCTCTTTGCATTTTCTTTCGCATATACCATGGGGAGTGCTCTGAGGAATTCTACGGAATAATCCCAGCCGCCAAATTTCGTGAACGCACTACGCGGCAAACGTCCCGATACCATCCACACATCTGGATGCCTGGCGGTCCACCACTGTACGTTTCACAAGGAGTTTTCTGCCGCTTACGACCTCTCTGTAGAATAGTTTACCACCAGCAATTTTTCCGGACCAATACGACCTGGGGACCTTCAAGAAAAGAGCTTACTCCTTTCTAAAGAGCCGGCAACGCACCTGCAATTCCCCTGGTGTTGCGGTTGATAATGGGCGGCGGTAGTCACTTAACATCAAGTGAGCCGCATGCCCGTTTGCCCCCTCTTCTATAAAAAAATATATTAGTAGTATGGTTGTAGCATGAGTAGGTCAGCTCAATCAGGAAAGGACCACGCACTCACATAATACCAACGTAAAATAGCAGATTAACACTGCGAAGTTTCGTACGGTGAGTGTAGAAAACCGGAGACCCTTATTACTGTTAAGGAAGCATTCCATCTTAGTATTCACGTGACAACGCATTTGTGTTTTGATTAATAATAAAAAGAGGATAGATGTAGATGTCTATGGGCTACAGCAATCACTTACTATCAATTGGACTGTGTACTCGTTTATCTTGTCCTATAACAAAACATAACGTCTTATGATGACAATTATTTTTTGTAATTAAATAGTCTCGAGGGGTTTCTTGCTGGTTCTTCCCAGAACAGAGGTTTTCCGAACTAGTGGAAAAAACATAAACAACTTTCAAGAAGTATTCTTGTAATCTATATAAAATAAATAAAATCTATTATTTTCTTTGAAGTTTTTATCCCTAATATCGGCATACCTAAAAGCAGACGATATCCGTAATAGAAATTAATACAAATAGTTATTTAACATAACTGGCCATAACAAATAAGAAGAAGCGATAAGTAAGCAAATTTTTAAATGATATTCACCGAAATCATTTGCATGACATGCGCAAGTATAGCATTTTTACAGCATAAAATTTTAGGATAAATCTTTTCTCTCATGCGACTACCTGCGATTATTGATTCTAAGAGCACGGACTCCAGCGTCAGGGCGACCTCCAGACGTCTTTCCCATCGGGTGGTCGGCGAGCGACAGGCACTTTAGCGCCTAGTCTCGCGCGCCCGGAGTGCGTGCGGTGCCATCTAACGGCCGCCTAGAACAACTGCAGACAGGATAATGTTAACAAATCTACAAAAAAAAATTGACTCTGTCTGATTATGTTCTTTCTTTTTGTTCGAGTTCGCGAATAATATATTCAATGTTGTACGTTACACCGTTACCGAAGCTCATGAAAAGTCCACTGTCGAACATACCCCCACCTCCTGTAGATTGCTTCATAAAGAGGATATTTGTCACAGTTGTTATGCTTGGCAAGCAGACATATCTATAGAAATAATGTATGGCGATTGTGAAATAATTTTTCAAAAGTATTAATTTAAATTAACACGCGATATTTCAATATAAAACTATACGTTCGTTACGACAATTTAAAAAATTTTTATATCTTATCGAATACGCAACCGAATTGCTCCTACCGTAATTGTATCAGAAATATATTTCTTTATAGTTCTAAAGAGCTTTATTAACCGAATTCAAATAGGAGGAGGCACTCAATTCAACTACATGTTTTTTTGTTTATGTGTGTTACCTCAGAATTTCTTTCTAGACGAACTGATTTTGATGATTCTTTTTTTTTATTTAAAGCTGGTGCTTCTCGTGTGATCCCAAATAAATTTGATCATGATCTGACCAGTAGTTTTTGAGCATCCTTAATAATGCTTATTTAATTAACTTCGAATACAATGATAATGTTTTCTTTGTATATATATTGAAGAAGGGTGTACAATTTTTTTTATTTTAACACTTGTTCTATCTTTGTTGTTCTACTCTGAACAAACACTGAAAATTTCGTTGCCTTTGTTAAACCTCGTACACAGAATGATTTAATACAAACTCGGCTTGGTGGAGTTACGCTGCAGCTATATTATGGTTGTAGAACGAGCCAGTGTGAAAGATGGCCACCTGAACGTTGCAGTCCTTAGACACCTATATTTATCCTCGATTAGCGAAAGATAACAGAGCTTCTGACGGAATCCTTTTATGAGGAAATTTATGGGGGATGCTTTTATTAAGCAATGGACTTATAGAGGCTGTAATAGATGAATAATTAAACAAGCTTGAATAAAATGACCTTGACTTTGAAGCAACATATTTAGTGCAAGGGTACCAGGTTAGCACTCACCAGTCCGCTCGCCCAGCTTACTAAGCGAGAACAAATCTCACATAAAATCCATGCCAATTGGTGCGTTACTTGTTTGGCCATTGTCCCTTGTGATGATGAAATCACTGATAATTTCATTGCAAATCTTAATTTGTGACTTTCTGTCAATACCCTAAGTAGAAATCTCAGTGGTAAGAAGATTTTATTTTTTAATTTCATTTAGTGGGTGGCCCCGAGAACCTTTTTTCCATCGATTGTCGGTCCTTCCAGCTATATGGCCGACCCGCACGTCTTATATAAATGAATACAAGCAGTAGAAATGTCAATAGCTACAATGTATTAGATTATGCAGATGACTACGTTTTAGATGGGGGAACATGATATTCGTTTTGGTACGACAGTGAAGAGAGTTACCCTTTGTTGCATATAGCTAGTGTGATTTTTGTATCTTTTAGCCTAAAAGGATTTGGCCATTACAAAAATGAACATAGCACTTCGAAGATAAAAGTTATATGTAATATTTTAGCAAAATATATCCTTATAACTATTTTTATTATATAACAGTGACGTCTCCTTACCTAAATGGCTACTTGTTGCTAGTTTATAGGGTTAGTCTTTTATTAATTTGAAGTGAAACTTTAATTTTGATATGAAACTTTTTATCGACGTAGTTGAGAAATTTAGAACAATATAAAACGCGTCATGTTTTCTTGTAAAGTTTAAACTAAAAAAGTTTTACTTCGTACGTGTATAAATTAACACACAGTTTTTTGGGTAAAATCTGCAGACTACTGACCGTATGACGCACATTATAACAAAGAGTCAACAAAAGTTTTTGCCATGTTTTTTTAAACTCTCTTTTGTGTATGTCTGGTGGGATTGAATTTAATAATTAATTTTAAATTAACCTAATTGTGATTTAGAAACATCAAATTTGGAACAGCTCAGAATCGGATGACAACGTAAGGATATAAAAAAACGTTAATATTTTTTTAAAATTTGTTATGCTATTTTATTATTTTGGGTTGTTACAGAAAGTTACTGTAATAACTCAAAATCAGTCTACTAGACAGATTTCCTTCTTCTTTAACCATATAAACGTATATTTAGGCATTTCGAAAAATTGAACTTTAAAAATAAAGTGTCTTACTTTGAGTTGAGTTTGTGTTGCGGCTCTACAAGGTGCGTTTATGATGATAATTTCTTAAAAAAATATAATAAAATATGTTAAAATAAGTTAATGTTAAAGTTACAGCTTATATATGTCCAATGCCTTCCTCAATTTCCGAGACAGTTTTGGGTAAGGAAGTGTTTCGCGACGTTCGCAATGCGTGTTGAAAAACTTTACATGCGGTTATTCCGTTTAACAACACCCAAAAAGCTACCCCAAGATACTCGGAAACGCGTGTTCATCTACATCCAACCCTAACAGGGTGGATAATGGAAACCCGTACATTATTTTTCTTACGATTTTCTCCCTTAGCTGTGTACAGTCATTTATAGAAACATTATAAAACTGGTCCAAGATACTTCGTAGATATTAGCATACCTATCAGAATATATATATATTTCTGATAGGTATCTATATCTATATATATATATATATATATATATATATATATATATATATATATATATATATATATATATATATATACATAATTCTTATTTGAAAAGTCAAAACTGGAAGAAGGAGTATCTCACAGAACTACAAATTGATTTTAATATTCGCTTAAAACAAATTTTAAATTAAGTTGAAGACGAACATCCAACGTTTTAGGAACGCTTGAAAAAAACGGCCAGTATTTCGCTAATACATCTGCTGTAGCAAAGAAATTTAGAAAACAATTACAAATATACATTAAAGGATACGAATCTATCCAAGATATCAAATGAAGTTAGTGTTGGTACTAGACGTATTGTAAATATTTATAAATTACATAATTCAAAACGAGGAAGTTTAATTCGATTTAAATGCAATATATAATATTATTTTTGTTCAAGTTAGTGGTTATTAAAAATAATTAATAATTAAAGTGTATGAGTACATTTATTTTTGAACTACACTTGGGGTAAAAAATCAAAAGAACAATCAAAAGTGACTTTCGATTATCCACCCCGTCTATGATGGACAGATAAACACGAGTTTTTGAGTTTCCACCCTAGGGTGAATTTTTAGGTTAAACAAGCGGAATGACCGTTTTGTTCGTTAAATTTTTGGGATTTTTCATTCTTCAAATAATTTTTTTATTTCTCAGTCATGCAGGTTTCCCCACTATGTTTTACTTCACCGACAAGCACTAGGTAAAACATCATTAAATATTTAAATAATATCAATAGTGCCGGCGGGAAATAAACCGGGCTGCTTGAGTACTTCGGAATTTACAATGAGCACTTAGCTTCTGTGCTTACGTGGTAGCGATAAGGTAATCGGTGCCTAAGCTACCACGCCTCTAATATATAATCTATAATAAAGCTAATCAGCCTAAATGGAACACATAAAGTATACGCGACAGATAAATATTTTATGTTCACGCCGTTACGTTTGCATCAGTCACAGACTCCGAAATATGAGGACCACGGCTCGTAAAATGTTTACGAAAATGTGGGCGGCTAATAAAGTCGCCTGATATCGGACTAGGGGCAGCATGCCTATAAAATATTGAGAAAATTTCAAATTTTGTAAAACACTGAATATTATTGTGAAACATGAAATTAAATAACACGCATCGATTCTATTCTGATTATTTTATGTTATCCTGGTGATCCTAATCACGTCAGGATCAACAAGTATAAAGTTGTATTCTGTTACATAGATACGTTGTTTACGTGGTAGAGCCATTCTGCAGCTATATTATAGTTATATTATATACAGCTATATTATAGTGACTGCCTCGTTAGTCTAGTGTTTGTAGTAGTGTGACTGCTGATCATGAGGTCCTGGGTTAGAATCCCGGGTCGGTCCAAAAAATCAATTATTGAGTTTTTCTGTCAAGAAATTCTCAGTAGCTGCCCGGAGTCAGGAAGTTGGTTGTGTATCACCCTCATGCCTCGGAAAGCACGTCAGGCAGTTGATCCTACGCCTGATCTCTCTTCTGTGTTGGTTTACCGTCCCATCGGATTATGAGAGTGAAGGAATAGAGAGTGCACCTGTGCTTGCGCATACACTTGGGCACTATAATTCTGTCCTGCGTCGATGGCTAGCCTCGGTTGAGGTTGGCCGTCGTGACCGAAATTCGGTCTGGAGGACTTTATTATAGTTGTAGCACGAATGGATCGGTTCTACCGGGGCAGGACCACGCTCTCACAGAATACCAGCGTAATGCTGCTGTGTTTTGTATGGTGATTGTAGAGAACCAGAGACCCTTTTTATTGGAATCGAGGTATTCCATATTAGTCCTCAGGGGTGACGGCACATCTGAATTTTGAGTCTTAATTGATGATAAATGTGGATGTCTATGGGCCACAGCATCCACTCACCATCAGGTGGACTGTTTGCTCGTCTGTCACCCAATGCTATAGAAAAAAAAGATAGATATAGCGTATTAATAAGCCTTCTTTAGTGAATTTATCTTGTGTGGTCCGAACATTCAAACTCAAAAGATGTAACTAAATTCGCTACTGCTACATAGATAGTTGCTATGGGATGATACCCAAGAGTTAGTACGAGGTAGTTGATTTTATTTCACCGGCAATACTTGGCGTATACTTTTGCTGTGAATTCACTTATATTAAACCATAGGTGTTGTAAGAGATGGCAGAGGTAAACTGTAACGGGAGATGGGCGGTACCATCTACCTGATAACAATGAAATGAGATTAAATAAAAACTCTCTACTTTGAAGCGAGGCTTC